TTCGTTCTCATTTTGGTCTTGTTAGTCAAGAGCCAGTTTTATTTGATTTAACAATTGCTGAAAATATAGCATATGGATTAGAGAATGTTTCAATGGAAGACATTATCAATGCAGCAAAAAGAGCTAATATTCATCAATTTATTGAACAGTTACCTCAGGTTAAGCGATAGAAAATTATATTATGTATCAATTCCTATTGCAAAATAAATTCTTTTAGAATTATGAAACAAAAGTAGGATTGAAAGGTAGTTTTCTGTCAGGTGGTGAGAAACAACGTATTGCTATTGCTCGAGTTCTTCTTCGTCAACCTAAAGTATTGCTCTTAGATGAAGCTACAAGTGCCATGGATGCACACAATGAACAAGTAAATTTAATTGTTTTTCTTTTCATCAATTAAAGATTCATGTTCATTTTTCAATTTTAGATTGTACAAGAAGCTCTTGAACAAGCTCAAAGAGAAGATCCTAGTCGAACATCATTGATTGTTGCTCATCGTCTTTCAACTATTCGTTCATGTGATTTGATTTGTGTACTTGAAAGAGGACATATTGTGGAAAGTGGCACTCATACAGGGTTGACACAACGACGTGGCGCTTATTATAAGATGCTTGCTCACGACAATTTACAATGATTCTTAGTACACTATTTCCAAAATAAAAATGTTTTTTGAAATATTATGAAAAAATTTGCCTAAAAAATTCTGATGCATGATTTAATTACATTGCTTAATCAACTGCCCATGAAAAAAAAAGATTGTATACGACAGTGTTCCCACACCAACGTACAGAAATAAGTGCTATTCATAGGTGGAAACGGATTGGTTTTTTTATGACCAAGCGTTTGTTCAATTTAACATACCACCTAAAATCTGTTTAAACGCCTTTATGAAAAACACACTTTTTATCTCCAACAAACGTCACTGAGAAAACTGTTCGAATGGTTTTTTTTGTGCATTCAAACACGTTTATTATTCATGCATTCAAACGGTATTTTTTTTAGCATTCTTCGACTACAAAAGCGAATTTTTCACAGACATGCTACAATGCATATTTCAAATTTGTTATTGAAACACAAGTGTTTTTACAGGTAAATTAAATAAATAGTTACAATTGTATGCTTAGTAAAAAGCTGTTTTATGAAGTGAAGTTTGCTGCCGTTTAGGCAAATATTTTGCAATATCAGACCCAAAAATATGTCTCTTAAGTAGAACCGTTATAGATATGAATTTCATGAATATTGTACAGCAGAATGTATTTTTAATATTACTGAAGAAATAAGAGCTTGTTAACGGAGTTCCTACGAGACTAAAATGTGGAACTCACATATGCTCTCTAGCTTTATTAAGCTAATACAAAATATGCAGAGTGAGAAAGCTCTTATAGACTATAATTGTTTTGTAGGATAATCGATCACGAGAGTGAGGACCTCTCTAATTTCTGCATTTCAAACGGAAAGTTTATTATTTTTTCTACGGGTACCCTATTTTTTGTTTGCATTGTTGCTATTCGCTCATTATTTTTCATTTTAAATTCATTTTTCTTAATTTAATATTATTATTATTATTATTATTATTATAATCATTGAATTAATTGACAAATAAATCTTTTATACATGTAACTTACGCTCACTATTTTCTTCGAAAATATATGTGAGTTCGACAAAATAGTTATGGAACAAAAAGAGCAACTGCAGATGAATTAGAACTAGTTTAGTTTGACTAAAAAATTATCGTGACGAAGTGTGAAAGGGTCTAGATAAGATGACGTCGGGGTAACAACTCAGTTGAATTTTTTCTGGTCAACGATTCGGCATTCGGGATCTTCTTTTAGTTTATAACAAAACTTTTAATAATCCATTGTAAGAGTATCATTTTCATGATATATTTAATTCATTTAAACAGATTGGATTTGAAAAGAATAAAATAGTTCATGCTACTCAATTGCCTTCGCAGCATTCTATTCGAATGTTTGTTTCAATCACTGATATTTTGTATAAGCTGTTGACAGATAGTAGATGCTTTGTTCCCAATAAAGGCTCGAATATATCTAACAGCCACTCAACAAATAATGCACTTGAACATATATGACTTCTATCGTTCTCTTCAAGCATAATTTGTGAGCACTACAAATAATAACCATGGCCTTTCATTCTTATCAAACGCGCCGGTCTGGCCTGGTACTCTGCAGGAGATTCCCAAGCCACTCGGTCAGAGAGAGTCTTTTATTGTTGGCTTGGTCTGCTCATATCTATAAAATTTCGGACGAGTCCATCAGGCCGAGCAAGGTCAAAATTTATGATCTAATTAAAGCCTACTTGAAACCAATGTCATAGTCTATTTCGAACTCTAGATGGCGTTGTTGGTTGCGTTGTATTTCGAAGAATTTTAAAAGCAAATGACCAGAATAAATTCCAAGTGTATTGCAATAGGCCGAACAAAAATGGAAGAGAGAAAAGAAGGGTGTGGGTGTAGGATGAGCGTGAGTGTGGGTGTAGGATGAGCGTGAG